TTGGCGGAGTCTCCCCTGTAAACAGGACAAATCCCAAAAATTCAACCTGTCAAAACACAGTTAAAAACAACCCAACAGCCATCATAAAATATACACAAAGCTTAGTGTTACAAACCATGGCCTCCGGCCTAAAAAAAAACCAAATTCTAACTGGGCAATAACAGAGCATCTAACAGAATTCAAAGAAAGTTACAAGTAGGAAAGAAGTTTAACGATTTTACATAGCACAGAGGCCCTGAGAAGGCTCAAGTGCTGAAGCTCGTGAAAACCGGAGCACAAAATACGGCACTGCGGCTCGTTCCAGTCACTACTGGCTGTGGGGCGCAAAACAGAAAATTGTGAGTGGACAAAACAAAGTTTAGTTCCATTTAAACCAAAGTAATATAACCCCACCGTTAGAAAATCATGCATGAAACCAATGCATTAAATCCAACATAAACATACATATATGTATTTTGCTCCAACCCGAGCTAAATCCGAAATCCAGTGAAACTATCAAATCAACCCATCCAGTCCTTTCCATATAAAAATCTCAAGACAAACTCTCGAAACACGTGCCCACCGGCACGACGAGCGGGGAAGTATCCTCGCTCAAAAGCAAGAACAAATGTATAGTTATATATAAATATATAAGTATATAATAGAGATATAGTATAGGTATATGACACACCTAATTGTACCGGGGAAACAATCCAACAGGGGATTGTTTGACTAGCTCACACTTATCCGGCCCTCAAACGTCCATGTGGCTAGGGATGAGTCGTCTAACTGGAGGACTGATACTCTAACCCAGCACGTACGGACGAAGAATCAAGACCCGTACGCCTGGAACCCTCCTACGCGCGCAGACTACCCAATCAAGGGTCTACGGTCAACATCCCGTCAAGGATACCCCGGCTACTTACATTTCCAAATATTTCACATTTCCATAATCACATTCCGAATCCAGGGGAGGTACACAGGGTAGTGCTTATAGCACTCCAAACTGACTTTCTACTCTCGCATCTTTCCATGCCTCATAACCAT